ATTTTTGTACATTTTTGTAAAACAGTATTAGTCCCCTCCTTTTTTTAATACACGGTGAGTCAAAATTATGTGAACACTATTAGAGAGAAAGCATTTACTCAAAGTTTGTGTTATACATAGTCTTAACCTGACCACCAGCACGATTAATGCACTCAAACCAACGTTCAACAGTACAATTTAGTGCCAGAACACAAGAGATTGGGGAGGCCATAGCAACGGTCGTGACCAATCGGAATAGAAAACGAAACAAAATTAAGATGTTTCATTAATAATGTTTAATTAAAAATTAAAATTGTTCACATAATCTTGACTCACCCTGTATATCTTTCTGGGTCTCTTTGTTTTCCTGATATATGGGTAATGGCTAAAATAGCCCTGTCATGTTGTGCTTCAACAGATATATTTTTGTCATGTATTAAATTTTTCTGTTTTTGAGTTTTGAACATTTAACATCAATTTATGTCAAGTGATATGATCTGATGTCCTTGATATCATCTGATGTCCCTTTACATCATGTTCAGAAGTTTTTGAAAATATCTTGAAAAGCATTTTATTGTTAAAGATTAAGGTCATCTTTTAATTAATTATATGTATAGTTTCACAATTTTTGACTATTTTCCATACACTCCTCCCTCTCTAAATTGTACACTTAATGGATGGTCTCATTTCTGACTTCTACAAAAAAAATTGGTTAACAGTTTAATATCATTTGAAATCATTCAGCAACCATTACAGAAATGATATACTCATGTCTGAAATGATTTTTGGACAGTTTTAAATGATATGAAATGATATCACTTGTAACCATTTCATCAGTTGATATTAAGTGATATTATGTCTTGTCATTTGAAACTGTTTGAAAATCACTTCAGACATGTTATCAAGTAATATTATTTAAAAATGATGAAAGGATTTCTACTAAGTACAGTAGAGCCTCGAAAACTCGGCCTAATGTGGACCGAAGGGTGGCCGAGTTTGTGAAAATGCCGGGTTATCGGGAATGGGGTTAAAAAAGGATAAGTATGCGTGTTTCCTCAGAAAATATTGTACTGTACTTGTATGTATTGTTTGCTTGAGAATACAACAGAGAATAAACTGCCCAAACACC